TATGTATGTATATAAAATACATTAATCGATATTTTGTCATATGTATTCGATCATATAAATCGGCAGTACAAAGTAAGATTTTGCAGATCACCTGTTCGCAATCTTGTCTGAGGGACTCATAGAAGCGACGATGCCCGGATTCGGTAAATCAAATAATTCTGTCATTATCTTTTCGACATTATCATCATATTCCGATGATTTCTGAACTATGATCTCCTGGCGATCCATGATCGCTTCGAAAGCACATTTGTAAGATGCGATTCTTGTGGCAGGTACTCGATAACGCGCAGCCGTTACTTCTCGAGACGTCAAAGGCGTCACGGATCCTGCGGATGTGATGCTGCGCATCGACCGACGCTTAGAAAGTTTTATTTGTCAGCTCGCTAACATGTCTCATTCGATTAACATCGGTGTACCATCGCTGAATCTTTTTGCTCAAACCTGTTTCCGGTATAAGTAGCGAATGATCGTCGAAGTTCAATCAGTGATTGAGGCCGACGACCGTCGTCAGTCGATTAGATACAGCTGAGAAAGGCGAAATTGTTGTCTCACACACACACGCCTTATATTATTCCGCCGCTTGCAGTAGTAACATCAGTGGAATTGAATATCGCTGAAACGACGAGATCTGATATATATCGCGGTGAGTCCGACATTCGCTAAGATTCGAGATTATTAGTTCTCTTAAAAAAATAATTTAAAAAATGTTCACGTAATCTCAGGTTTTTTTTTTAATCTTCTCTCTCTCACTCTCTTATTAATTACATTTAATTTTAGTTTTTTAAATTTAATCATTTTTAGATTTTCTTAATTATAATCTCATATTCATTTTGCATACAATAAAAAGTTTACAGCTACCGTCATCGTTACATCTTGTAAGAAAGGAAAGATTTAACATTAGTGAGGAATTTATGCAAATGTGGGGCTTGTAATATTACATCAAGATTATAAACATATATTACTGCTCTATATTTCATTAAACTGGACCCGAAGCGTTTGCAAAATGCACTTAAGAATCAAATACATATTATATGTATGATCGATTAGGATATATTAATTTAGAAGATTAATTTCTTTAAGTAATCACCAAAAAAATTTATTAACTTTTATATAAATTACTTTCTTATAAATTAGATTTCGAAATAGTTATAATTAATTATAGACATGTCGCGTAAGATTTAATTCAATTTGCGTTAATAAATTTTTTCAATCCAAGGAATAGCGAAGAAAAGAAAGCAGTTATCGCATTGTATAAATGCGAAGCACACATACAGGGCGATTCATCGAAATAGCGATTAATTAGCGAAGCGGCGAAAGGAGCGAGCACATGCGTCCAATCGACTATTGATAAACACCTGTTGCGCTCGATGCGCGCCACGTGGCATGCGAAACTACGCCGGCCGCCTATGTCTCGTGCACGATCAAAGAAAGAAAATGAATCATCTGCACGCTCCTGTTCCGCGTAATATTGAATGCCAATTTGCATAAATTTCTTATACTGCGACATCCTGCGCGATAAATACCTTTTTAGTTCGCCGTTTCTTTGATCGCCACAAAGAGCTCATTAATGCAAATTATTTTCTTGCAAGTCTCGCACGACGTAACTACAGTTAATCCTAGCTCTTCTATACTAATAATTGATTTGAATATTTGTTTAGAAAACCACAATGTTTATTAATTTATAAGAAGATAATTTACGTTAATAAATTTTTTTATGGTGATTATATTTAAAAGATTTAATTCTAAATTCTAAACTAACATCATCATTAATCATACATATAATACATTATATAATACATTATACTGAGTATAATAAAGGCTATAATAATAAAATAATGATCCAATAATCCCCGTAAATATAAAAAACACTGGTTATATAATAATGGATATAAAATTATTGTTATATTGTTTTTCTTTGAACATGCGGTTTCGTATTTAATGTATTTCTAACTGTGCATGTCAGCATTTTATTGATATAAAAATCAAGCCGAGATATTATAAACATATTGCATGCAATTGCTATAAATAAAATTCTAGTACAGTAATATGTTTATTACGCGCTCTTTATTTATCTAAACGATGCGTCGCGGCAAGAGACCCAGTGTCGGCGTCCTTGCGACTCTGAATCAATTTGATAGATAAACACGCTTCTTGTTAGACCTTTGATATAAACGCAATTTTTTTTATAAAAGATGTACAAGTTGATTTATCGAAAGAAAGGTCAATCACCGCACATCATCTCTCGTAATATATTTGCGCAAATATAAAAGGAAATATATACATACGGATAACAGCGTGATTGTGTCATAAGCCTTGAAAGATGTTTACTTTGGCAAGGGCACTCTCGTGTCGGAAAGGAAATAAATAATTCAGATTCTAATAAAGCAAATCGCAAATACGCAAACTATGAAAGTCACATGCTGATTGATTTATCGATGCTTTCGAGATCTTACGTATATCAGACGGTTTTAATTTATTACACGTTATTACACACAAATCTTTAATCATTAATGAGCTTATAGTTATTCCTCCGAGAATAATTTTATATATATATATATATATATAAAATGATATTTATAATACGAGTAATAATGCCGCGATAGATAGATACAAGAATTTTTCCGAAGATTTTTTGTGGTATTTCGTCAATTATTGTTAAAAAATATTTTCGCGCGATGTTGATCATACACACAACCTTTATCGAGCAAGTACTGTATCCATTATCACATGTGTGTATCATTTAAAACGTGTATATCTATTCACTCCGACAAAGCGTAACATTAACGAACGTCTATCCGGCACAAGAGGTACGTCGGAACTGTCGCTGTTTCCTTTTGCAACCCTGGAGCCCTCGAGGCGGTACGGCTACAGTAAACAAAGGAGGAGGAGTCTAAAGCGTTGAGCTTTAAAAAAGAAAACCATAAGAACGGTGAAGATAGATAGTCTCTTCATATTCGAAAGGGATTATTTAGCTCTGATATTTGTAAGCGAAAAATATCAAGAGATTTGAAAGATCTCAATTGGATATATATATATTCGAGAATTTTATTTCTCTATGATTAATTAAATATAAAAAATAAGATACAATTATAAAAAATAAGATACTCGCGTATATTATATATTGAAATATATCGTTTCCAAAAGTACATTCGGAGCAAAATAGTATTAAATATTGTCTATGAAAAAGTTGCTTTCGATCTAAATTTTTTTAAACTTCTCCGAAAATCTATTCTAATATATATAATATTTCTTTCCGGCTGGTAGATATTTCTTTTCAGAATGCTTTGCATACCATTGAATTTTTGCAGGAACGATGTAACTTGAGATATACATATAAGTTGGTCTATTTCAATGAATACAAGCTCATTCCTAACGATAACAAAATTTTTTGCTCGTTTTGTCTGTACATCTTGCATTTCTTTTTTTCTCCGTAGAATATGATATCGATTTTATCACCTCGATAAATTATTCGTATATTATACACGCACAATATTATTATATTCCTTATTAAAATACACAATGCGTCTTTTTGCACATGTCGTAGCTTCCTTCTATCACTTTTTCTTCCTCTTGTTTTGGTTCATCGTCGATTGATATGTTATAAAAACGATAATTAAAGTAATATAAATTTTCTTTCAAAATTAAACTTTGAACGATTATATCGTTCATTTGTAGGTAAAATTGAAGGACATACTATTATATATTAATATTATTTTTTTTATTAAACTACACTATAATAGAAGATGAAAATATGTATATATATATATATAAGCAAACGAAGAATTTTACAAGGATCATTCAAAAACCTCTCAAAGAAATACTTGCGCGATCTCTCTTCTCAGTGATTTATATATACACACGTGTCTAAGCTCTTTCCCATACTGAGTATCGGACAGGTTCGTCGCGCTATTTATATTACTAAATCGTGATACGCAATAATGGACTATAGGAAGCTTGACCAATGAGATCGTCGTTTATGAGTTATCTCGGTGAACTCTATGTAGTTTGATAAAAAACTATTGGATTTCCTCGTCCATTTCATCATTTCTCATCCTTCTCTCATCGGATCAACGAGGAAATATAAAACTTCTGCATCGCGTAGATAAGATAATATGGTTCCCTTTCCGGTGGAGGGAGAGAAAAAGATGAATCATCACACAGAAGTCGTAGAAGCGATGATTGCATTATATAATTTCCATAAGAAAAGAATAAATTTCATATGACTCGTTTCATTGCTGATATTTTAGCGCGCCTTGTTATATACGCATATCGTATATACATGATTTGAAATGAAAATGCGCCAGCTAGGCTGCGTTCGGAAACATCACCCGTGTGCACACGAGCGTCGTTCTATCTTTGTATTTACTAAAAGTAGAACGATGCTCGGGTGCTATTTCCGAACGTACCGCTACCAGACAACTATGTATTGCGTTTCGCAATGTTTGTTTCGTAAGATGACTACCGACTGAGAGATAGAATGAGTTAATTAATTCCGTCTCGATTGATTTTATAATATAATCGTATAATAGAAAAAAATTTTTTTTTTTTATAGAATATACATTTGTATATATATAATATTTTTATATGGATGTACCGCATACGATATATCGAATATGATTCGTATTCGATATGATTCTATGGCTATAATGAGACATCATCGATGCGATTTTCATATTTTTAGATATTCTAAAATGAATCGTTTTCGACACGTGCTCTAAACCGGTCTAACGAGTTATTCTACTACACATCTAAATTCTATATCCTACATTCTAAGGCTACGTTCCCGTATCTATTGCCAGTATTAATAATATGGTTCCCTTTCCGGTGGAGGGAGAGAAAAAGATGAATCATCACACAGAAGTCGTAGAAGCGATGATTGCATTATATAATTTCCATAAGAAAAGAATAAATTTCATATGACTCGTTTCATTGCTGATATTTTAGCGCGCCTTGTTATATACGCATATCGTATATACATGATTTGAAATGAAAATGCGCCAGCTAGGCTGCGTTCGGAAACATCACCCGTGTGCACACGAGCGTCGTTCTATCTTTGTATTTACTAAAAGTAGAACGATGCTCGGGTGCTATTTCCGAACGTACCGCTACCAGACAACTATGTATTGCGTTTCGCAATGTTTGTTTCGTAAGATGACTACCGACTGAGAGATAGAATGAGTTAATTAATTCCGTCTCGATTGATTTTATAATATAATCGTATAATAGAAAAAAATTTTTTTTTTTTATAGAATATACATTTGTATATATATAATATTTTTATATGGATGTACCGCATACGATATATCGAATATGATTCGTATTCGATATGATTCTATGGCTATAATGAGACATCATCGATGCGATTTTCATATTTTTAGATATTCTAAAATGAATCGTTTTCGACACGTGCTCTAAACCGGTCTAACGAGTTATTCTACTACACATCTAAATTCTATATCCTACATTCTAAGGCTACGTTCCCGTATCTATTGCCAGTATTAAAAATCTATAGTGTACGTGACGTAAATTATAGATTTTCAGTATTGGTAGTGAATATCGGAACACAGCCTAAATATCTTACGATTTAAGTAACATAGAATCATCGGCATCATGATAGACCAAAAGAGAAAATAAGCAGGCGCGTTTTCTACTCGGTCAGAGTTTAGTTTAACGTAAATCGTTCCTCGAAGTCGCCTGTGAAGAAACGTTTAATGAAACTTGACGCCTACAGCGACCCTAAACATTTCTTAGCTATGCGGAATAACATGTGGAGTTAAAAAAAGAGCCGGGCCACCTAGATTTATGCAATCAATTTGTACGCAACTAATTGTATAGATACATATGTTGCAAATAAAATTTGTAAACCAGAAATATATTTAACATGAGAGAGGTGAATTTTTCTTACCAATTGTATTATGTGAAAAATGCCGAAGATACGAGTAAAAAATTTATTTTGTCGACCAGAATTTTTTCTATTGAATAGAACACTTTGACAAAAGAAAACTAATTTTTAATTTGTATTCTAACGCAATTCATGCAACATAAATTTATTACTTACAAAAGGAATCTCGTTATAAAATTATTGACTGGTAATGATGAATAGTAATTAAACAACTAATGTTTGAACAAGAAAAAAGAGAAATCCAAGATAATAGATAAACAAATTCCTGTAAAATGTTTTATCAGTTAAGAAGATCTTTCATAAGACATGAAGAAAGACTGTTGAATAATTCTTT